GGTTCCACTGCAGTTCAACATTTTCAACAGATAGAAGAGTGGCTGCAACTTGCGTACATGGGACCGTTACACTGCGCGAAACACGCACACGGGATAACCACTGCAACCGACCTGGCGACTGTATATATAAAAAATGTTTTCAATATACTCTCGCGTTATTTCTCGACCACAAGCTCGCCGGTGTGGCCGCTCTCATTACCATTGACAGTGCAATGCTCGTGATGTCTTCACAATGCGTGGGAGTCACTAATCCTCTGCATTCCGTCGGCGTATCAGCAGGTGTGTTGTGGTAGGTTGGGCGGTGATGACCTAACGCCGGGTTTGTTTGTTTCCTTGGGTAGGTATGCGGTGTACAGACGTGTACCCAGTGAAGTGAGAAGCCAACGTTGCAGGCTCTACTCCACCCACCCACAGCACATGAATCCGCCCGCCTTTGACCCCATGTGCTGCACACCTTGTTGGTTTCCTTTGTTTCTTGCTGTGTCCAAAGACTGTATTCTGTTTGGCGTCGGGAGCAGTAGTCTCCCAACGACGATGCCGAGCAGCAACAGCAACGCTCTTTTCCTTTGTAGACGCTGATACAATTTCTTCTTGTCTTTTGCGTGCTCAAGACGGATAACACTNATATATATATATATATATATATATATATATATATATATATATATATATATAACGGCCCACACGACACGGCGGCTAATGAATGAAGTGCTTAACAGCAGCGTAGCTCAGTGCACTTGCGCACTGCAGGCAATTCTGCGAGGTTGTAAACCGATTCTTCGAGTGGCAAAACAAAAGCCCTTACTACCTACATGCACTGATCCATCCTATGCATGCATCCACAGCATATCCGCTACTACGAATGGCGCAGCAGCAACAGGCACGCAGTGCAGTGCCGACGGGGGTGGATATACACCGCATTCCCGCTTGTGTTTGTAGTCGTCAGCGAGCTCTGACAAGAACGGGCTACATAACAACTTCTGCGTGTCACGATGGCCCTGTTCCTGTCCGCTCGTCCCCTTGTATTCTGGGCGGGTGACAAGACAATTTGCTTGAGGGCTCCGCCTCCCTCTTCCCTTTAACGAATTAACTAACGAGATTCTGAACGATGCCTTGTATCGTAGTCGTCTTCTCTGTCTCTATCGTGATAGCGCCCGCGACGTCCTCCATCCCTGCATCACAGCAGCAATCAACTGGGGTCAACAACAAAACCTATCGTCTCTATAGCGCAGCCCGGCCGAGCATATAGTCGAACTTGGTTCGCAAGAGGCAAGCGCCAATGAGGCAACATACCATGACAAGCATGCAATGACCATCATCATCCGCACAAATGCATCCTTTTTACTGCGGATATCTTCCACGCAGCCCAACAATGTATGCGCCACACAGCGTTGTGCTTTACGTTAAGCCACCAGGTGGCATCTATTTCTCTCCTTGAGACCCTCGGGCCAGTGCAATATTTTCCTTTATACAAATGGAGTGCCTTGGGTTTCATTGACTTTGGTCTATTCCCAGCAGAAGACTTCCGCCATAGATCAAAACTCTTCGTTGCTGCTTCTATGCTCGCCCTGTGTGTTCACTTTTTAGCTTTTGGACGGTCTGGCCCCCTATTATGCCTCATTTCTTCGGGGACGTGACGGTCGCTCTTTGCTGCCTTTGCGTTTTACCCTTTTCTATCTTTTATTGCGAGCTGATCTGACGACTCCAGTTTACTTCACTGAGCAAATACGACTCGAGTGTCACGACACGTCTGGTCTCTCTGTAGCTTCAATTATATATAGCCTCTAGTGGGAACTATTCATTGCTGTTTCCTAGTCTCGCTCTCTGCACGAACTGGCTAGCTAGCTAGCTGGCTAGCTGGCTCACCCAGGTGGGTAGCGGTAGCGATCTCCTCGATAGCCATCGCGTTGCCTCGATCTGCTTCTGCTGCGGCCCCCACGGCGCCTGTCGTCTTCTACGCCGCCTCTATAGCCGTCTCGTCGATAGTCATCGTAGCCACCGTCGTACCCGTCGCGGCCTCGGCGGCCGTACGCCTCCCCGTTCCCCCTGTAATTGCCACCATATCCTCCTCCATCGTAGCCCCTATCGTAGCGACCACCACGGGCATCATAGCGGTATCCACCATAACCCCCCTGACGCGGTGGCATCCCACGCCCCTGATAAGGGCTGCAACAGTACACCACACGACATAGGCGAAAGTATTATTTAGTGAGAGAAAGGAATAACTACAACGAAGATGAAATATAAATTACACTAGCTAGAAACCCGATTGAAAATCCAGAAAAAAAAAAAANAACTACAACGAAGATGAAATATAAATTACACTAGCTAGAAACCCGATTGAAAATCCAGAAAAAAAAAAAAAGTAATATAGAATGACCTACCCATTCTGACGCTCCGCGAGGATTCTCCGCATGGTATGGGGCTGCAAGGCACAAGCAAAAATGAAAGGAATTATCTTATGCATGTTGTCACGAGTATGAATACGAGCTAAAAAACAAAACAACAATGAAAAACATCACAGCAACCCAGCATCAGCTGCACTAGCTTACAGATTTCCGTCTGTCCTGCGCAATGATTACGGAGAGCTCGTTGCCATCAAGTATAAATCTATCGAATTCATGTACAGCATCCTGAGCATCCTTCTCCTCGTAGTACTCGACGAAACCAAAGCCCCTGTTGCGGCCCACAATCACGAAAAAAGATCGCAAATGCAATATTAATTATGTGCTAAACCCTAAACCCTAAACCCCAAATCATAAGTTTACAAATAGCACTGCAAATGAGCTATTCTCCGAAACCCTAAACACGAAGCCCGCAGTCAAGCGTGATTGCCTGATTGCGGGTTTGGTGTTTGTGATCGCGAACGCGTTTTTATCCAGAGTTATTAGGAACTTGATCTCTAAATATCTCAGATAGTTGAGTGAAATAGGGTGAATATCATTAAGTTCATATAAAGCGCATGGAAGCCTCTCTCCAAAGCATAGGAATACAATCTGCTCGCGTATGGAGGACGTACCGAGGTTCCTTTGTGGTGTGATCAATGGGCAGATAGACATCCTTGACGCGCCCAACTTTTTCAAACACTTCTCGCACCTTATCAGCTGTCGTTTCATAGCGCAAGTTGCGCACAAGAAGAGAACAGCCGCGGTTTGCCATCGTGCAAACAAGGACTTGTTGCGGCACAAGCCAGGACAAAAAACAGAAGGCTGTGGGCAGTACAACCCTTCACTGGTCCCTCCCGTTCTTGATATTAAAATTATTATATAGGAGACCAGTTTAAATGAGCAGTGACAGGAAGAAAACAGCTGAGAAGACTCTCAAGAGTGCAGCCAGCAGGCGGTCATGTCCGCCGCTCCCACTCCCTGGTGCTCAAAGGAACACAGAACACGCAAAGGAATGTGGCTAATATTAATCTCCACGTTGAAGAAAGTAAACTATTTTAAACGGCAGCCCACCAGCAAATACCGAAACGCGGCCACTCGTCGCATGCAGCTCACCTGTAGGATCCCGTGTAGCTGTGGCTGGAGGTGCAGCAACAACGCATGCACCAGGATGCTTAGCGCGGCTGCTCACTACAAGCCGTTTTATCAAAACCATGCAAGTTAAAGTTTTCATGTTGAATGCATTAAAACAGGGGACGAGGCTCAGGGAGCTGCTCGGGTCTACCAGTAACTTAACTGTCGGTAGGCTGCCACTCACCAGCGACGGTGCAGCAAGTGATCGACTTCATCTCATGAAGGTTTTCATTGCTGTTGGTATTTAATGTGCCACGGCATCACGGTGAAGTGCTGTTCCCATGCTCACGCTCTTCGAAATATAAAGCATGATGAGACAAACAAGCAGCCACTAGGTTTGCATCCGTCTATATATATATATATATATATATATATATATATATATATATATATATATATATATATATATATATA